CATGGGTTCTATACATGAATTAAGCTAACACGTATTGGAGGAATTTTTTTTATATTTTTTTTCTTCGGTGATATGATCTGTCAAAGTTTGCATATTTTCGTGATTCTGACTAATCATGTACTTTTTCGAGTCGTTATATGTCGGGTTCTGCTCATCGTAGAGACTTCATCCCAACGTCGTCTTAAAGCTTAAGAACGGGCTTAACATTTCTGTATATAAGATGGTCAAGATTGTATTAAAGCAAACTTAGCTATTAACAGCTGAACTTTTTGAAGTTGATTTGCATAGTGAAGATCAGTAAATTAGGGATTCGAAATTATACCATCGTAATCCTTGTTTAATTCTCTATAAAAAAACCTGGCTCAAAAAATGGGGGGTTTTCAAGAACTATTTTTAAAATATTTTCCTTTATGACGAGATGGTTTATTTTGTGAGAATCAACAATTTTTTGTAATTTATTTTCGAAAACTTATGATGAGATATATTTAGTAAGGTGTTAAACATCGAGTTTTTGCAAACAGTAAAATTTTATTGCGGACTCCGATAGAATACCTATCTAGAAATAATATTTGTACGGCAAGATTTCTCTGTAAGGGGACAAACCCCTAGAAATGGGCGCGGCAATCGCAGGACTAAAGTTAGTAAAACGCGGATTTTGTTGCGGATTTCGGCAGAATATTTTTCCAGAACTTGTTCAATCCAAGAATATTCTTGAAATGGACGTGGCTATATCAAAACCAGAGCTCATAAATTTGGACTTTAAAAAGAATGGCTCATATATGTGCAGGCCCGAATATAGGGTGGGGGTGTTCCCCCCCCGTGCCGCATTTTTCCTTACATTTAGTTGGAAGATAAAAATTAAAAAATTTTGTAAAGTAGATAAATTTGATTATTTAATATTCACATAGCTTTTATAATATCCAACAAATATGAAAGCGCATGTCTAGATACACATGCAAGTGTGCTAAGGTCACTTCCGTGCTAGTCAAAGCAGCCGCCAATCTGGAGTAATGTGAAACATAGAAAGGTTCCAAAGTCAACACGTGTTGTCCAAATGTTGTAATCGAAATGATTTTCCCATGGTTCATGAAACTTTTTGATCCCGAAATTGTAGAGTGACCTTCAAAGATATTCGAGATTATTTACAACAGGGTGGAAACATTGACACATATGTGGCTCGCAATTCCAGCAGGGCATCAATGTTTTAATTTAGTGAAAAGAAAACATAACTTTGTTTGTTTAAATTAATAATTCCTTTCTATGTGTTTATTTGAAATCAGTTTGGTTTATTGCTAATTAATTACAATATTACCTTGTGTGAGATGAAGGGTGGTGGTTGATAGGCGTCCGTGCTCGCTAACTGGTGATTAAAATGGAAAGACCGCGCTGTTTGTTAACGGATTGAGCCGAACCCTCAAACAGCGAGCTGTTTTGAGGGGAAATCTAGCTAACTCGTTATACTAATTGGCGGAAAAAATAATGCAATTATTTAAATGTTCATATTAGTTTGCTTGTACATATCGGTGTTTATGCACATGAACATTAGGGTGGATCACCCTTTCAAAGTTTGGTTAAGGCTAGTGGCCTAAACATGCCGGCCCCCTTGCTATAAGCAACATCTGTCGATCCATTCAACCACCACACCTACATTAACAAATATATTTAAGTTGTATTCGGCTTCTTGGAAAAAAGAAGGTTAGTACGAAAGGACGTGGTCAAACATTTCTTTGCACATAGTTGGAATAGTTTAAGGCAGTCGATAGCTGGCGAGGCCGAGTCTCCAGTCTACCTCGATGCCGTATTTGATAAAATTGATCGTTGATGTATAGACTACGGGCGGAAAGGCCTAGTTTCCGGTCAATAGCGCTTTTAATTTTTTTTGAAGGTGGTCGAAAAGGCCGAGATTCCGATCCACGTTGCGGTGTTTGCGTATATTAACTTGGGTCGGAAAGCCCAAGTTTCCGATCCCCTGATGCGATCGGGCGGAAAGGCTGAGTTTCCGCTCCGAATGTTCGTAGTATGTACATGCATAGGTGATTATTTAAGTATTGATTTGTATCTTTTTTTTTTTTGATTTGGGCATCTATGAAGTTATGCGACGAACACCTCGATAACTTGCATGGGGCTAATTCGATGCCACGCACTGTATCGCCAATTTCGTATCTAGGTGATCACATGATAGTGGTGGTGAGTAGAAATAAGCCTGTGTGTAGCTCTTGATAGTTTTTCTAATTTAAATGCTTAAAAATTAAGTTATCAAATGTATTATGATTTCGGTATTAGATGTATTATGATCTTGACAGCTGTGCTTTACTAAGAGATAGGAAATCGCGTTTTGTAGCTGGCACTTAAATTACCTACGTTTGTATGTATGTATATAAATGTGCCTAAAGAACATATTTGGCTAAGCAATGAAATGGTTTTTCAAGAAAGGTTGCAAAGTTACATTGCCAATGTGCTCTACTTGGATTCTTGTACCGAAAGTACATTCAGCTTAAGCAAGTCTGAACGGGGTATAATGGTACCTATTTTTCCATCACTGGTTACACTGCAGTGGCATACTTTACAATTTCCTGAATGACATAAATGTCATTCAATTAGCAACCACCACGAGGACATACTGTAAGTGAAGCGTAAGTAGAGTAAATTGTGCAAATAGTAATATAGTTTAATTAAGCTTATATTATTAGGTGCCGTATTGATTAAATACTTGCAATTAGGATCTACGGTTGCCAAACTGTTGTACCAGGCGTAAAACACCAACAAACGAAACCCCACATTCATTAGTAAGAATCCTTAATACCCTGACGAATATTATGATGAGGAATTCGAATGCCGACATGTGTTGCCAAATGAGCCTTCAAAATTGGTACCAAAACACACATACGAGAGGAAAGAAGATTTAGAACCTGTTGAAGCAATAAGAGGCGTTGGAAATTGTCACCTCCCCACAACCTTCATATGGACACTTTAAGAGGTGCTGCTTGTACGGCTGTGAAAATCGACAGATTCAACGAAAGCGAAATTTAATTTATACAATGGTACATTTTATGCTTTAAAATTTAACACGTAACTCTTACAACAGCTATGAGACACATCAGTGAGAACAAGCTAACAATTTTTAAAAACGAAAGCAATTGAACGAGGTAAGAACAAATTTTTAAAGATTTCGATTCGTCAGTAATAAACTAAGCTAAGTTCCTGACTATCTCAATGTTACCTTACGGTTCTGTGGATCAGAATAATCAATTACCAGTACCAGACTCCACCAAGCTGCTATTTGCTAAGATCTCAGGTTCGCGCAACAATGCTGCAGTTTTGCTAACATAAGTGTGCTCATCAAAACCAAACGGAGGCTGTTTGCGAAATGGCGTGAGAGTAAGAGTACTATGTACAAATGAATAGACATTAAAATGTGAATACAAAAAGGAAAGATATGCTGCAGTGTGTACATTAGGGCATCGTTATATGAGGGAATTTTGCTGGCACATCCAATTTTGGAATCGTTAAGGTTCACAGACAATGTGTGGCTGAAGGAATTATTAAAACCCTTTGTTACAGAGATGACGAATTGATCGCAGTTCTCAATTTAACGGTGCCAGGTGCAAGGTGCATAAATGTCAAAAACTCTCATTACTTATGTATGTAGCAGGGTTAGAACTTTACTATGATCGTAGTAAATTTACAACGATTTTCTAAAATATTAATTCTACTTCGATTTTCTTTGGGAATAGTAATAAGCACTATTAATAAAGTAGTATCTGAACCAAAAAAATACAAGAATTTTCTTATTCTCCAATGTTACTTGATGCATTTCATTTATATAAAAGCATTTCACAATAAACTCATATCCTATCTTTTGTAAGTATGTAACTAAGTTATATGAAAAGAAGTGGCTAAATTTTGGCACTGCCGGATTTGTAGATAGTATGTATGTATGTATGCATCTCTTAATATACGTGAGTATTTATGAAAGGAATTCATGGTTGAAGCGTCATTTAAAAGCACTGTTTCCTGCTCTTTTTTTAACACTCTACAAGCCACGGAATTGTATGTTATGCACCTATTTTGGAGGCTCACAAGAAAATCTAAACATACCTGAAAGTGGTTTAAAAAACTAGATTTATTCATCGCGCCAAAGTCTAAGTTTTGAGGAATTTTGCTCTGTACTACAGTATTTCGTATGAGGTGAAATTGGTGAGGTCGTTCCGTTGCGCCACCACTTTAGTTTTCTCTAGGTCATATGCGGGTATACGTTCGTACCACCATGTTGCCTCTTCGCGTTTGGCGTTTGTGTACTAAAATATTTCTCTATCTTTTGAGTTTTGGTTTTTGAGACTTTCTGATGAAGTAAGACGCTTGTTGAAAGAAACTGAATTGAAGGAAGATCCGTGTTTAGTTTTCGGGGATATCGGCTCTGTCTGGCCAGTTATTATCCAGCCGAAGGCGGTTTCTTGGGCCAGTAGAGTTCCTTCCCTTTTGATATTATCGGGGCATATATATCGCCGCCCAAGATAAGATCAACGTGTTTGTTCAGTCGCATCTTGGCTCCCTAGTAATTACCTTTTTATTTACTCCTTTTACTATGTACTCTTTGTATATAAAACCGATTACCGCATTTTGCTACATTAACCTATGTAAATACATATTTCACTATATCAGGCGACTTGAGTGCCGCTATTATTCCAGTATATATTCCAATGACTTTTCTTTGAAAAAGGTTAATGTTAGTTTTTAAGAGTAGTACAAGTTTGGCGCTCGTCGTGTACAGAAAATATAAAATTTATAACGTGGAAAAAATAAAGTGTATTTTTCTTCATTTCACTACAAGTAGAGAAATTCTGATCGAATTTAACATTGGCGATCCTGCCAGGAGACGGTAGTCTAAATTAAACTCATGTGTTTAAGCGTGTATAATAATACATATATACCAAGACATTTGTGATTAATTCGTGACAAATAAGCCCACGCGGCGCGTCCTTAAAGTCTATTCTGCAAATATGGCCGAAGCCAAACTTGCCAAATTGAAAATTAAACGCGGTACTCTAATAGCTCAGCAGCAGCGTGTAAAGGAGTTTATCGACTCCAAATTATCAAAAGCATCTGTTCCAGAACTCGAAACTAGGGCCCATGCTCTGGAGAAATACTACCATGATTTTGAAAGCATACAATCCAGCATTGAAGAACTTGAACCGGAGGAAGGGGACACCATTCGAGGCTCATTCGAAGAGCTTTACTTTGTTCTTCGTCCCACTCTGATGGTTGCTATAAGGGAGTGTAAGGAGGAAGCAGAAAAAGGTTCAACAGCAACCACCAAATGTGAAACGATCGTCAGTAAGAAATTAAGACTGCCAGAAATCCCTTTGCCAACGTTCTCCGGTGACTACACCCAGTGGTTGTCTTACTACGACACGTTCTCTGCCTTGGTTCATCGCAATAGTGCTCTATATAACGTCACGCGATTCCACTATCTCCGATCTTCGCTTAAGGATGGTGCTCTCCGGCGCATACAGTCCATCGAAGTAACCTCTGACAACTACGAAATCGCACTCAAATCACTTGTCGAACGATATCAAAAGCGTAACGTCATTGTTCGGGAGCATATAAGACAGCTTTTTATGATATAAATGTTACGTGTATACTCCGCGTTATGATTGACTAATGTCAGTGCTACTGTGCAATGAGCATAATATTGCATTAATATTTGTATAAACGTGTGCAGGGAACTTTAATTCATGAACCGATACATTGTTATCGATTGAGGGTTTCTTTGCTCAAATCAGTCGGCTGCCAAATGGTATCAACCATAATAACATATTTTGGACTCACGGTGGAGAGGATACAGAATACCGTTAATCGGCTCTCAGTGAATTTGACAGAATCAGCTGTTTTGCTGACGTCACAGTCGAGATGACAGCAGTAGTGATGTGCTGAGTCAATACTTTCAAGTATTGATCGATATTCCGTACCGATTTAAAAAGTATCCAATACTCGGTACCGAAACATTTATATTTCGAATAAAAGCGCACAAAGGCCAAAAATATGGAAAAAACGGTTCAGGGGAGACTCCCCTATCAAAACACGAATGTAGGAGCCAATAGAGCTTTTAATACTGGTTCAAATTAACGATACTGCAGCTGAATCGGACGATATAATTTTTATAGGCAGATTCTGTAACTAGTTAGCTACAGATGCTGTAACTAGTTAGGGACAATTTTCGAATCGGTATCGGTTTTGTTGACGTATGATATGAAATATTTTTACGTCAAGGAGTGCGATATCGATCCTAAACTTGTCCCCTGAAAGGCTTCTTCATCCGTCAAAGTATTTTTCTTGAACCTTGGATCGACTAGTGTTAGAACTTATGAAATAATATTTCCCTGTTGCGATAAGTTCAAGTGTTTTAACCGATATCACAAAAATTAGTAACAAAAGTTTTTCTAAACTTCAAATGCATATAATGGCGAAGGTTTAATGTAAAGAATCAGTATCGGGTACCGATAAGGAAGTATTGGGTACCGAAAATTCAGCACCTAACTAGACAGCAGTTTTATTTGCCGCTCTCAGGTGTTACCTCTACGGTGACGTCACGCCAAAATTACTCTCACGAATTCTGCTACAATCGGCGCAATCTTGTATTCTATCATTCTTGATTTGCACTCATATCGTAAGCTATATTTAGGTCCCATTTCAGATGAGCCCTCCATGTAGAGATTGTTGATTAGCTTCAAAATTTCATTTTAAAAGCATACAATCAAACGACAGTCAAATGGCTAATATGGGTTATTTAAATATGAGATATGCAACCCGTATTTGTACCAAACAACATTCAGCTGTTCAGCACGAAATGTAAACAAACAAATGGCAACACTGTTGCATGTTCTTTGAAATTGTTGTTGCATTTGTTTGGCATATTTAAGTAAAGATGGTCACCAACGACAGTTAAATGGCATTTAAACAACAGTCGGAAATTAAACTAAGTGCCTATTAAATTTTCAGCCGAAATTGGCCCTGAGAGTAATTGGGGTGAATATGATAATTAAAAGTGGTATATAATAACCTATTGTCGGACTTGGCTTGTTGGGATTTTTTATCGGGTAAACTTAAAAAAAAAAAAAACATAGTTCTCTTAATTTTTTAAATTTTGACCATCGTCAGGCCAGGTCAGAAAATACGATTTTGTAGATTTATGAGTTTTTGAGTGACTATTTTTGATTCGATTTCAAAGATCGAATATGATCTGAGAAGAGGATATGGTATACTACCATGATTCAATAATAGAAAGGTTTTGTAATAAAAAAGTCTTCTCGCTTCCACACGTAAAATCGGCTTCTTTATTTGTGCAGAATGTTGCTTACTCTATAGTTTCTAGTGATATTAGTAGTAAAACCAAAAATTTTTCAGACTAAATATTCAGCAGCATCACCCTTGTTTGCGTAATTTTCTAGAACAAGTGTAGAATAGCGACCGTTTAGCTATAAAATAACCAAAAATGCCGATTTTACGCTGATTTCAACGATACCAAATTTATTTGGCGCAGGTAAAAAATAAAGAAAATATAAGAGGTTTATTTGCTTTATTTATTTGTATTTTTTATTATCACTAAATTGTTGAAACACAAAAGTAGATCATGACAAAATATGTAATATCGAATTAAAGGTAATAACTTGTACTTTCTAAATAATATAAATTTTATTACTATTAATTATACAGTTTTTTCAAAAAAGGTTATTTGATGAAAAAATAACATTTGTTCGTTTATTAGTGGTTTTGGTTTAAAAATACAAAATGCTATAAATTATGTCCATCAGCTGAAAGACAAATTAGTTATCTTCATGGTGACGTCATTAGTTTTTTAATCGGTTATATAGTTCATAAGATATTAGTATTTAAAAAAATCTAAAAACTGAAATTTAACTTTCTAGAATGAAATGAGCATAAAAAGTTCTATTGATCTGCATTTTTCGTTTTTGCATAGCTGAACGGTCGGTATTCTAGATTTCTTCCAGGAAATGACGAATAACTGAAATCAAAAAGCATATTTGACATTACCTATTTCCACAAACATGTAGTACTATCTAAAATTAAATATATTTTTAGATAGCTACGTTATTGCAATCGTGTAAAAATTGTCAAAGTTAGGCGACTTTTCTTAAATACGGCCTTGAATTTATATGTGTGTATGTACCGGACTTTCAGATTTTTTGAGCAGTGTGGCTAAGGAGCTCATCAATATTTATTCAAAATTGATATATACAATCTCTCTATAGAAAAAAATTGGCTTTTCAAGAAATTTTAGGAAAATGGGGGTGGCACCGCCCACTTATATGCTATATGCGTATCTGAAAAACTTCTTGACCAATCTGAACACTCCGGTACATACACACATAAAAATTAGAGGGCTGCATGAATTCGTTCAAAACGGCTTGTGAATTATTCATATACAAAAAGAATAAATGATTTTGGCTGAAATTTATTTGAATTTGTAGTGAATACCTGTTCTGATATATGTGTCGACATTACAATATTCAAACAAAGTGAAAATAAATTTAATTGAAATAAATAACAATTTTTTGTATGAATATCCAAAAATATTTTTGAGGTGTATACATCTTTGGTTTCGGTAGGGGTAAAATTTGCGAAGCTGTAACGCATATCCCAGCACAAAATTTCGAAGGGCTTAACATGTGTATTTCAGCATAAAATTTTTATTTTCATTAGAAGCATTGTTCATTGTTCGCTTGCCAAATGGTTGCATACATTTAGGCATATGCATAGTAAGAGGAAATGCGCTACAATTGATTATTAGCCGTCATCGATTCGCCATCAGTTAGCAAGTGGCGAAACGAACGAACTCAATGAGGTACAACCAAACTTGCTATCGTCTATCCGTGCTAGCTAACTTTGTTGTTGTTTTCACATGCAAAATTTTTCGTTAAGCGACCGGAACTCAAACATAGCGAGCGAGAAGTGGCGAATCGACGACGGCATGGCATTCTATGACACCCACAATGCACAAGATACTAATTCCTTATTAACAATAGGACAATTATCGGGGAGGCTCAAGAGGCCCACAACAAACACTACCGAGAAAATTATTCCCGGAAGTTTTCTCGTGAAGTATGTAACCGTGACATATATAACCGGCTGTTGGTGAGCTCGGACTCGTTTTTAAGCAGTATTTCGGTTCATGACCAAAAAAAAGAAAAAATATCAAATCGTTTTCCCCAGACACAATAAAGCTGCTGTTACCCTCTAAATCCGTTGTCAAAGATGTGACAAAGGAATAGTTTGAGGCCAGCGAAGATTCTGAAAGCGAAAACTAATTAACTAATGATAGTGTACACACATTTTATAAATAAAGGTAGTCAATATATTTAAATAGTAAATTATTGGCTAATATATATATTTTATTAATATAACCTATCTGTAATACAAATTATTTCAATTTTACATTTGATAAACAATTTTGAGTAGATAGAGGCAATAAAATATTTTTTGCCGCATAAAACTTGAAAATCTACCTATATGCGGTGTTTCCAAGATACTTTAACGCCCTTGAGTCACAAGTATATACAAGTATTTTATCAATCATACCGATAATGTCATGTATTAAAAGAATTACAAATGAAAATGAATAAAAAAATTAAATCAGCAAAATGAATAAAATTAATTGAAATTAATGTTTAATTTCTAACCTAACCTACATTTGTATGTGTGTAACTGAATCGCCTTTATATATAAAAATATTATCCTAATTTTCGAGCTTGACTCCCTAAGCTGTTATTAGAAAAAGAGATTAGCCATGCAAAATTATAATTAAAAATATCTCAGATTAAACCGATAACTTTTTGGTGTCCACCCCAGTTTAATCGATTATACTTGCGAAGAAGAGGAGGAATGTCAAATGTTAAAGAAAACAAAAATTGACGCTAGTAAGGAAAATAGGTTTGTAAAGGTATTTTTAATAAAATATTCAGTTAAAATATATTTAAATGGCCTAATATGTGTTGCAAAAGAAAAGTGACCACGGTGGCACAGAGAAGAAGTTTAACTTTTCCTCGAGTTGTGTGAATAACAAGCACAACCAATTTGACAGCTAACGAGCTTTGATTGAGATTATATTTATATGTAAACGTACTTTTATGCTTTGCCGTTCGCATATGTATACACATCAAATTTCTTGACAAAATCGGCTACCTTAGCAAGGCACTGTGTGTGGGTTCGTGTGTGTGTGCAAAGCTTTTGTAAGGGAGCTAATATTACGTTCAAATTGGAACCATTTAACTTGTTAAATGAAAAAGAGCTTTTTGGAAAACACAATCGTCCACATTGAACATTTGGAGTTAACTTTGACGGTTGTTTGATTGGGCACGTTCAGAAGGCGCAACAGCTCAGTAACTGTTGCGATTTTACCTTCTGAACGCGTTGTTGTGTACTTCTGATCAACTGAACAGTTGCGTGTTAGATGCTCGTAATATTTTTCTGATCATTTGAGACAACATGTTGATGTGTACCTTTAAGAGTTGAATTTGACAGTTAATGCATCAAGCCGTTCAGAAGACGCATAACGATCACTGATTTTTTTTAGAAACGGTTGCGCTCAACTGCTGCGTCTTCTGAACCT